CTTAAATCGCACTATAAAAGCTTTGTCGCCATCTTTGGCTCCAGGCAAAGAACTGTGACAAAACGTTCTGTTTAGCACAAATCCAGGTCTAGATCCCACTTTTACCACAGCTCTGACCATTCCTTCTCATTCCGAAGGTCGTAATACCTTTGAAGGCCTCTAACACTGCAAATGATCATTGCTGTTAATTCCTACCAGTTTCGTCCATATTGACTTACCCAGGTATATGAGTTCCCCATCATTCATTTCTTTATATGTCCCTTACATTACCTTTACAATTGGAAATCAATTCCAGTTGTGTCCATGACCAAAATAATGGTCACTAGGATGACATGTAAAGCCATACACGCTCCCTAGATGTAGTTACAACAATCCACAAACAACTCTTTAGCCTAACACGCGACCATTATAAGACTTGGATGTGGAAAAAGTGTGGCAGCTCAGTTCACGCTGACCATCAATTTATCAATTTGGATGAACTGTGCATGTATCACTGTGTACATTTAATCATGAAGATGCTTTATGAAAATACAAGATGTAATTTAAGAATACTTTGTGAGGAAGTTTTAGCACAAGCAGCAATGGGCAGTGGTGACTGGCTGATAGTGTAACTTGTAGCTTGAATTCTGTCTGGCATTAAATCCGAACTAAATTCGATAAGAAATAGCCCAAAGCAAAACAAACTGAAAAAAGTCAATAATTATCACCTGTTATATTCAGAAGTACATCAAGATTTAGATACTTTTATTGATTGCAGTACAAAGAGCAGGCAAAAAGGCAAGAACTTGGGTAATCGAATCTTCTGTAAGCATCTCTATGCAGATAGCAAAACAATGAAAATGACCTTGCTACTTTGACTCTCAGTCTATGTTTACATGAACTGTTATAATAAGATCCATTTAATAAATTGGTAGTTCCATCCCCATTCATGTTCACGTTCATATAATCTTAGTTTCCTAACATTGTCTGCTTGACAGTGTAACTAACAGAAGCTGTATGATAATATATGGTTAGTGTTATCCCTGTCAGTTTTAACAAAGTGAGGCAGCAAACACAAACAGTCTTTATGATCAAACGTTACAGCTTTTCTGCAACCAATTAAAGTATGGACAGACAGGTCCGTCTAATATAATCTTTATAATGTTCTTTAAATAGAGAGTGTCCTCCAACCAGTAAAATAACAACAAAATACCTACTCAGTAAACATGTTCCATTTCAATTATAGTCACAGTTTGGCTATTTTTGGCTAAATTATACAAGCTTATTCAATTCACAAACCAATCACTGTTTAGTGAAAAAGACCCTACACTTATACTACTTTTCAGGTGCATGTGCCTTATTAATATTCCAAACTTGCAAAGACTGGCCATCATACACACTTGAATCTGTGTAGCCGAGCACTTAACTGGCTCCATAACATTTGATGTTTGGTGTATGCCATCCAATGTTCAGCTGCTCACCTGCATCTGAGAACTGGACCCACATATGTTGTGGTATATGTGTACTTACAAATCCACAAGAAAATGAGACACGTGCACAACTGCAATTTGCACCTGTGCACAGATGTGTTTCAGCTTGTTCAAATATGGTGTCTTTCCGATTTATAAGAATCCACAGGTAAATCCCGGGCAGATCGATTTATTTGGGTGTACATTTGATTCATTTGAATGAGCTGAATTGTATTTGTGCACAAGTGTAAATTAAATGATGGAATTGCAAACTCAGTCTCAAAAGGAAAACTGTTTATTTTCAAGATGCTTAGAAAGTGGCCTCTGTATTAACCAGATGGATCAAGAGATTTATTTGACATTCTCTGATCAAAGGTGATAATCCCTCTAATTTAATAAACATGTGTACTGGCAGTTTCTCTTTGAGATGCAAAACTGTACCTCTGTAAGTCACAGGGATGAGATTTAGAAATCCTATAAATGTCCAATATTCTTTATTTGAAGAATTATTTACTCACATGATTGTATTGTAAAGTTAGTTTTTAATTGTCAATAAACAACAAAAATACATTTTGAGGTAGCAGATGTAATGACATTTTCAAAAGTAAAGCAAACATTAAAAAAAGTCTCAAAAAGGAAAAAAAGAATTTTTGCATGTTTGATAATTAATGGCAACAAGTCGAACAATGTCTGTGCACATGCTTGGCTTTGATTTGCATTGCACAAGACTCATTCATGGGTTTTATTAAAAAAATAGTGAATTATATCAAATTAAAACCCAAATGGGAAAACTAAAGCTAAAATTAGTGATTTTAGCCCCCGTTTTGCCTTTCTGATTTTTTTTGTAAAAGTTTGGTGTATGCTAATTTAAAGGAAAACTCCAGTGCCAGGAAAACAATCCGTTTTCCTGGCACTGCAGGTACCCTCTCCCTCCCACCTCCCATCCCAGGTAGCTGAAGGGGTGAAAACCCCTTCAGGTCACTTATCTGAGACCCCGCCGATGTCCCTCGGTGGTGGTTTTGGGTCGGCGTCGCTCCTCCCGGTAATCACGTCAGCCGGTGGGTGAGACTGATCCCGCCCGCCGGCTGAGGAAACCTAATGCGCATGCGCAGCAATGCCACGCACGCGCATTAGGTCTCCCAATAGGAAAGCACTGAAAAAGATTTTCAATGCTTTCCTATGGGGAATTGAGCGTCGCTGGAGGTCCTCAAACAGCGTGCGGGCGTCCAGCGACGCTCTAGCAATGAAAATCTTTGCTATGAATCAGGAAGTGCCCTCTAGTGGCTGTCTTGTAGACAGCCACTAGAGGTGGAGTTAACCCTGCAATGTCATTATTGCAGTTTATAAAAAACTGCAATAATTACAGTTGCAGGGTTAAGAGTAGTGGGAGTTGGTACCCAGACCACTCCAATGGGCAGAAGTGTTCTGGATGCCTGGAGTGTCCCTTTAAGGTCAAAATTGCCAAACTAAAACATGGCCAAAACAATGACATTTCACTTTGACATGCGACTTGTGGGGGGCCACTGGTTACATAGTTACATAATAATCTAGGTTGAAAAAAGACTAAAGTCATCATGTTCATTTTTAAAACCCATTTTTGTTCTGTTTTTCCAAAATAAGGCAAAAAACCCAATTGTAGGCATTTCCAATTATGCCAGAAAAAGGAAAAAAAATGCTTCTTGACTTCCTAATGGCAATCAGATTTCTCCTTGGATCAACAATCTGCCCACATACTGTACATATTAAGTAAGCAATTAAATATATAAGTATTCAAGCCTTTTAAAAAAAATCTAGAGAATTTGATGACAACCTCTTTAGGACGAGAATTTAACAACTTTGTTGTTCTTACTGTAAAGAACCCTTCACTCTGCTGTAAGCGAAAACACATATCTTCTAGTCTCAATGGGTGACATCTTGTTTGCTATATATTCCTACTAGTGATGTCCCGAACGGTTTGCCGAATGGTTCGCGAACGGTTCGCCACAGACTCATCATTGAGTAAACTTTGACCCTGTACCTCACAGTCAGCAGACACATTCCAGCCAATCAGCAGCAGACCCTCCCTCCCACCTCCTGGACAGCATCCATTTTACATTCCTTGTGAAGCTGCATTCTTAGTGAGCTGTCCAGGAGGCGTTCGGGACATCACTAATTCCTACTATTCCTACTAATGAACAGGTAAGCACACATCGGTTTGTATCAATCCTGTATATATTTGTATAGTGCTATCATATCGCCACTGAGGCACTTTTTTATTTACAAAGGAAACAAATCCAGTTTTTATAGCCTTTCTTCATAACTAATGTTTTCCATTCCCTTTATTAATTTTATAGAGCGTCTCTGCACTTTTTCTACTTGTGCAATCCCCTTCTTTAAAATTGGTGCCCAAAATGGTTGTTCAACTATTAAAGGGACGCTATAGGCACCTAGACCACTTAATCTGTTTGATGTGGTCTGGGTGCACTATCCCTGTCCTTTTAGCTCTGCAGCTGTAAACATTGCAATTTCAGAGACACTGCAATGTTCAGATTGCAGGGATAAAACAGCCTCTAGTGGCTGTCTCCCAGACATCCACTATAGGTGCTTGCTGGCCTTTCACAGAGTTTGACTCCGTGAAACGTCATTGGACGTACTCATGGTTTGTATGAGGACATCCAGCGTCTTCTAAACCCCCATAGGAAAGCTTGCAGCATGTATATTAGGTCCCCCTATTGGATGACATCAACAGAGAAATCAGGCAAGTGTAAAAAGAGTTATTTAATCCATTACTTGTTGTGGAGGGGAGGGCAGAGGGACCCTTTAGTGTTAGAAATACATCTTTGCATTCCTAAAATTAAAGTTTTCCTTTAATCCCTTAAACAATTGGATGGGGTATTATAATTAATATTTTTTTAAATAAAATATAACTTTTCTTGCACTCAGTTGAGATAAAATGGGAATATATTACAAGCTTATTTATTTCACCATCCTTGCTTTGTATTGTTTTGTGAATTGACTGGGTGATTTAAAAATGTAGATTATAATTGCAGATCAGAGGAGCATATTGCACTAAAATTAAGAGAACTATAATTTCTCTGGAAATTACACCACTGGGTAAAACATTAAATATCACTTATAACTAGTGGTATAATGTTTTGTGTGATGCTCTGATTTATTTTAGATTTGTTTTTAATATTTGACAGTAGACATCACAATCCAGTTCAGACCTGGCATAGCTAAGGCACGGATAGAAACATTGCATCTGCTACCTCCATGTGCTTTGTTTTTTGACAGAAAAGAGCAGAGCTTATAATAATGACATAAACTCAAGATGAAGACACACAAAAGAGCAGTGTAGATTTCTACTTTTAAATTTAGTTTGCAGATCTTAGAAAAACATATTTGTCAAATATAAGAGAATGTTTTCATAATATTAAAAATTCTGGAAAGTGGCATTTTCTATTAAAAAGACACATGGTCATAAAAACAATTTTCGCTTAATGAAGCGGTTTGGGTGTATAGATTATGCCCCTGTAGTCTCACTGCTCAATTTTCTGCCATTTATAAGTTAAAGGGACACTATAGTCACCTGAACAACTTTAGCTTAATGAAGCAGTTTTGGTGTATAGAACATGCCCCTGCAGCCTCACCGCTCAATCCTCTGCCATTTAGGAGTTAAATCCCTTTGTTTATGAACCCTAGTCACACCTCCCTGCATGTGACTTGCACAGCCTTCCATAAACACTTCCTGTAAAGAGAGCCCTATTTAGGCTTTCTTTATTGCAAGTTCTGTTTAATTAAGATTTTCTTATCCCCTGCTATGTTAATAGCTTGCTAAACCCTGCAAGAGCCTCCTGTATGTGATTAAAGTTCAATTTAGAGATTGAGATACAATTATTTAAGGTAAATTACATCTGTTTGAAAGTGAAACCAGTTTTTTTTCTTCATGCAGGCTCTGGCAATCATAGCCAGGGGAGGTGTGGCTAGGGCTGCATAAACAGAAACAAAGTGATTTAACTCCTAAATGACAGTGAATTGAGCAGTGAAATTGCAGGGGAATGATCTATACACCAAAACTGCTTTATTTAGCTAAAGTAATTTAGGTGACTATAGTGTTCCTTTAAATCACTTTTTTTTATGCAGCCATAATTGCACCTCTCTGCATGTGACTTACACAGCCTTCCTAAACACTTCCTGTAAAGAATCTTCTAATGTTTAAACTTCCTTTAGTGCAAATTTTGGTTACTTTAGAATGTATTATTTCCTGCTCTATAGCTTGCTAGACCCTGCATGAGTCTCCTGTCTGTGCTAATAATTTTATTTACAGAGCAGGAGTTAAAAACCTTTAAAATATGATACATCTGATTGAAAATAAAACCATTTTGTTTTCATGCAGGCTGTGTCAGTCACAGCAAGGGGAGGTGTGACTAGAGTGGCATAAATTGAAATAAAAGTGATTTAACTCCTAAAATGGCAGAGAACTGAGCAGTGAGACTGCAGGGACATGTTCTATAAACCAAAACAGCTTCATTGAGTTACTTTGGTAACCAATCTCCCTTTAACTAAAAGCTAAGTGCCTTTTTGTAAGAACTTGGAAAAATGATCAGCTGTTTTGCCAGCGAAGCTATTTTGGCTTACTTTTTTAAATTAACTGGTCGATACATAGCATTACTCAATTTAGTGAATAACCCTTAAAAAATTGTCTTAGCTCGGATCCATGACTTGTGGAATAAATATATACGGTAATAACCGACTTCCACATTGCAATGCTACAAAATAATTGCACTCACTTACTGTAGATGCAATTAGCTTGATTAATTTTGGTGCAACATGTCTATTTTAAACACAGACCCATTGACTTATTAAACTTAATAAAGTTATCCTTTAATTTGATTTAAATGAATAATGATTAAAGAGACCTTTATTTAGTTGTTTTACTTAGATTTAATGGATTTACGAATCAATAGCTCAGTGTTTCTTTTAATTAACATTAAAATGTGACCTTGAATTAAAATAATGCATAAAGTTTCCTCAATAATGTGGACTTCAGTCTAGCAAAGTAATGGTCAACATTTGCTGCTACAACTCTAGAGGACGACGATAGCCATATTGTTCAGCTGTGCTTAGCATAGGCCATGACAACTGGAATCTTAAAGCCTAGCCATCACCGTGTATTCTTTTCCTGAGTGTTAATATAGAACCTTTGAGATTCCACGCAATCAAAGGGATAAAAAAATAAACGTTTAAACACTTACATGCTTCCAGCGCTAAGGTACCTCCTCCATTGTCAGCGCAAGCATTAGGCAAAGCTTAAAGACGCCCAGCATCGGTGCATGGAGCTAAACTCCATGAAAAGCCAGGAATCACTAGAGGCAGTCTTAACCTTGCAAAGAAAACATTGTGGTTTCTCTAAAAGAGGACAGCAACCCTGAACTAAGACCACTTCAATGAGATGACGTGGTCTGGGTGTCCATAGTGTCCCCTTAAAGCCAAAGTAGCTGAAATGGAAACATAACTGACTTAGAGATTTTCTCCAGCTCTGCTATGTCGACCATAAATTTGAAATTCACCTTAAATTCATGCTTAATGGCACTTAACATTTTTGCATCCACTTTCAGTTTCCATAATTACATCTAAATCAAATCAGCAAAACATGTTTGATGGAGAGCAGCTATTTTCATTTAATATGTCATATCTGATTGCCTGGAGAAGATAAAAAATAGAAATACATTTATGGTACTTCAAAAATGATTGCAGCTTATTGTACAAGAAGTAAGTTCTCAGTATTTTTGGCACATTTAAGGGAGTGTAGCATGCTTGCTCCCTTCTCTCAATGCAGTATGTTCTTTTTTGGTTAACAGGCCAAGAGAAAACAATGAATGTACATGCGTTCTTCTGATACCTGAACAAATCAAGGTACTTGACCGTACATACTGAAATTAAGAGCACTTACTGTACAGTGTCTGCAGTACAAGTAACACACCCTTTGCTCCCTGCGTGTGTTTATTCCATAAAGTGTTGTAGTCAGCACCTTATGCAATGAGGATTTACTGCTGTGTCATTGTACTATAAAGTATATAGCAATTATATTGCAGTATTTCAACTCTTTTTAATACACAAAAACAAGTCCTGCGCTCAAACTCCCACAACTTTTGGGCGACAGCAATGACCTTAGTACCCAACAGCCCCAATACACACAGTAAAAACCAAAGACAAAAAAAGTTACATGCGCTTTTCCAAAATCCCTATGCATATTATTTTTTTTGGTTTTCACCTCTTTTTACTGTAATATATTACACATAACTGTATACAGGGCTGGCACGATATGTAGGTGACTTAGGCAATTGCCTAGCGCACACCGGCCCGGGGGGGGGGGTGCAACATTTGAGTGACCCGTCAGGAGGTAAGTGCATTAAGGGACACTGGGGGGAGGGGAGACCACTGAAGGAAAGATGGGGGTGGGGGGGAGGAGAGACCACTAAGGGAAAGATTGGGGAGAAGGAGAGGCCATGAAGTGAAAGATGGGGGAGGAGGGAGGACTCTAAGGGACAGGAGGGAGGGAAAGCACTATGGGGATGGGGGACAGGGGAGAGCACTAAGGGACAGGGGTCAGGGGAGAGCACTAAGGGACAGGGGGCAGAGGAGAGCACTAAGGGGCAGGGGGCAGGGGAGAGCACTAACGGACGGGAGGGGAGATCACTAAGGGACAGGGGAGCAGGAAAGAGCACCTAGGGATGGGGGGCAGGGGAGATCACTAAGGAACAGGTGTGGAGGGGAGATCACTAAGGGACAGGAGAGCACTAAGGGACAGGAGGGAAGAGCGCAAAGGGACAGGAGGGAAGAGCACCAAGGGACAGGAGGGGATGGGAAAGCAATAAGAGACAGGGAGGGTAGTGCACTAAGGGACAGGAGGTAAGGGGACAACACTAAGGGACAGGAGGAGAGGGGATAACACTAAGGGACAGGAGGGGAGGAGAAAGTTCTAAGGGATAGGAGGGTAGACCTCTAAGGGACATGAGGAGAAGTGGAGTTGAGACCACTAAGGGACGGGGGAAGTGGAAGAGATCATTAAGGGACGAGGGGAGTTTAAGACACACAGAGAGGATGAGGAAGGGGTGAAAGAGAAGCACACAAGGGCTGGTAGGGGAGACAGAGACACACAGAGTGGCTCAGGAGAGAGACACAGAGAGTGGCGTTTGTGAGGGAGACACACAGAGGGGCCTGGGGGGAAAAGAGACACACCAAGGAGCTGGGAAGAGAAAGACACAAAGAGGCTTGGGGGAGTAAGACACACAAAGGGGTTGGGAGGATGTAGGAGACATACGGGGGGGGGGGTAAGAGACACACAAGGGGCTTGTAAGAGATACACTAAAGGGGAGTGTAAGACACAAACCTTAAAGGATCACTATAGTGTCAGGAAAACAAACTCGTTTTCCTGACACTATATAACCCTTAGGTCTGCCCCCCACCCTCAGGGTCCCCCTGCTGGGCTAAAGGGGTTAAAACCCCTTCAGCCACTTACCTTTACCCAGCGCCGTCTCCCCCCCGCCAATGTCAGCTCCCAAGTGGAGCGGAACGCGTGCACATTCAAACAGTCCATAGGAAAGCATTTCTCAATGCTTTCCTATGGACGTTCTGCAAACTGAATGCGATTTTCACATCCAGCATCGCAGAAGCGCCTCTAGCGGCTGTCAGGAAGACAGCCACTAGAGGCTGGATTAACCCTGCAATGTAAACATAGCAGTTTCTCTGAAACTGCTATATTTACATCTGAAGGGTTAAAACCTTGGGGGCCTGGCACCCAGACCACTTCATTGAACTAAAGTGGTCTGGGTGACTATAGTGTCCCTTTAAAGAAAAAATATACAAAAAAAATTATATTAACAAAATAAATATAATAATAATAATAATAATAAAGCTGCTCCCCTCTCAGCCCCTATCCTACCCCACAAACCCTCTCTTTCACACTACACACATAAAAAATGCATCCTTACACATACACAGAAACACACATGCACAGAATGCATCTCTACTCACACATAGACACACTGAAACATACAATGCATCCTACACTCACACTGAAACACACCATTCTTCCCTTACACACACAGAAACACACAATGCAACCATTACACACACACAATGCATACCTCACAAACACACACACACACAATGCAGCCCTTGCACACATACACAGAAGCACACATTGTATCCCTTACACACACACACACACACACACACACACACCTTCTCTTAATGCATCCCTTACAGGCACACACACTGCATTACATTACATACACATAAACACACCTTGCATTTGTGTAAGGGGCCCCAAAAAATAGAGCTGCTTCCTGCTTCCTGTTTTAACACCAGACCAGTGGAGCCAGACTGCAGCATACAAGATACCTGCAGCTTTTGCAAGCTGGTTTTAGATATATTCTAATGAAAAATACATAAATAAATGTTTACATTGGGGTTTATATCTAGTAAATAGTGATTTTAGATGTTTGCTTTTTTCATTTGGTCATTGGATTGTCTGTGTAATCCTATGAAATAACCACTCAGATTTTATCGAGTCTTAATTGGCTGACTCTTAAACCTGAATCTAATCATGCACCCCACCTAGTATGATGAAGATCTAACATAGATAGAGGGAACACCAATAACCACAAAACCTAATTGTACAATATTTTTGAAAAAGAAGTGGTTTGTAAGACAGAAATAACGTATTCCTCTGTCATTTATCGGAGTCCTAGACACCTGGGCCCCAGGAAGGCAGCTTAACTCACATTCCTCAGCACTTTGACTGAATTTGC